GTGTGTGTGTGTGTGTGTGTGTGTGTGTGTGTGTGTCTTGATCGTGCTTGTGTGTTGGTTTCAGAGTTCAATCCGGTGCAGCAGCCGCTGCTGAATGAGAAAGTTCTGCGTGACAAACGGAAGAAGCTGCGTGAGACGTTCGAGCGAATCGTCCGTCTGTACGAGCGAGAGAATCCAGAGATGTACAAAGAGCTGCGCAAGCTTGAGGTGGAGTACGAGACCAAGAGAGGACAGCTGTCGCTCTACTTCGACTCCGTCAAGGTGTGTGTGACGCTGCTGCTCATGATCAGCAAATCTAAACAATACAGTGATGATTGAGAGAAGAACAAACGCTCCTCAAAAGATCCTGAGGATCAGATTTGAGACGCACTGATTCTTCTAGAAAATGATTGATGGAGAATCATGTAAAGCTGAGCTGCTTCAGTCCTGTAAGTGTTCATCTGGAAATATTACTGCAGTTATTCTGAGGCTTACTTGATAAAAATCAGAGAAGATTTGACAGCAGAAAGACACGAGAAGCAGCAGCTGAAGCTGGACGTTTGTACAATTACATTAAAAGAGTTTTGACTGGATAAAAAAACTCTAAACTGTTGATCATTCAGAGAACTTAGAAACATCAAATATGATACAGTAGCTTTATAGGGTTAACATGCATCATCTCTGTAAAGATACAGAATTTGTGATGTTAGTGTTGTCAGTAGAAATGAGTTCAGCTCTAATGAGAGTGTTTGTGTGTGTGTGCGTGTGTGTGTGTCCATCAGAACGCTGAGTCCGTCGAGGTGGACAGTATTCCTCTTCCAGACATGCCTCATGCTCCATCCAGCATCCTCATCCAGGACATTCCCCTTCCTGGAGCTCAGCCGCCCTCCATCCTGAAGAAGAGCTCTGCACTTGGGTCAGAACACACAGTCTCACACTCTCTACAAACACACACTCACTCACTCACACACACACACACACACACACACACACTCTATAAACACACTCACACACACACACACATGTCCGTCTCATGGCTGATCTCATCATTCAGCTGTCCAAATGAATTCAGTCCGTTTCAGATTTCAGTTTATATGAACCCTAATCTGATTCACATATTCATTGACCTGCGCATGACATGTGTTCAGTGTGTCAGTCGCTGTGTTTGTTCAGAGAACCGTAGCGCAGGAGAGACTGTCAATGTGTGTTCACTCGTGTGTTTCAGGAAGGGCTCAGCGCTGTCAGCGGCCGCTCTAGCTGGAGTTCCTCGCCTGCCGCCGGGACGCAAACCCCCGGGACCCCCGCCGGGGCCGGCTCCGCCGCAGGTCCTGCAGCTGTACGCTAACACTCGACACACAGGTACACTGACACCCGCAGATACTGCAGCTGTACGCTAACAGAAACACTGTTCCAGTTTTCCATCTGGTTTTTTGATTTTGCGTTGTTTCAAAAACAACATCCTGCTGTGTTTCCTGTCAGAGGGTGGCGGTTCAGACTCTGAGATGATGGACACCGGAGGGAGAGACAGCGACAGCGATGCAGACGACGACAGCGACTCGCAGGACGACAGCGGCGCAGAGAGAGACGACGCAGATGCTGACGCCAGAATGACATCAGATCGCCATGACGACAGAGACGAGGATAAACACACAGGTGCGTCGTCAGAGTAACATCGAGTACTTTCACTACGATGACTTTCCACGCTCTGAACGGTATGACGATGAGATGGTATTTTCACGTCTTCTGAAGGAAATGCTTCAGCAGACTGGAGGTCAGGTAACGCAGCTGTAGGAATGATGGTTTGACGTGTTTGTTTTCTTCGCTCAGGTCGCAGCGTGCGATTCGCTGACATGCCGCCGCCCAAAGAGAAGAGGACGAGGAGGGTGATGAAGACGAAGAGCATCACACCACTGCAGGCCATGATGCTCCGGATGGCAGGTGTGTGATCTCATCATCATGATACCAGACCAAGTCAAGTCACCTTTAGCGCTTTATACAATACAGATTGTGCCAAAGCAGCTTTAGATGTTGACGTGTGTGTGCAGGTCAGTCTATCCCGGAGGATGAGGAGGAGGAGGATGATGATGAGGATGAAGAGGAGTACACAGACTCTGAGGAGTCGGATACTGAGGATCAGGTCTCCACTGAAGCCACTCAGTCACTGGTCAATCCTAGACTTCCTGTTCCGTCTGCACCAATGGCAGCGCAGCAGCCTCCTCCACACATGCAGGCTCCACCAATCACAGGGCCTCCTCCTTTAGGACCGCCTCCTGCTCCCCCAATGAGGCCGCCGGGACCGCCGTCAGGCCCGCCCCCAGGACCGCCTCCCGGTGCGTCATTCGTTCATCATCATCATCGTTATCATACAGATGATGCTGAAGAGCAGCAAACATACCGGGGTCGTTAGTTAAGCACAAGATATTTCACTGAAAGTGATTCTGTGCTGAAATACTCAGTGATGTTGTTTGATCGTCTGTGGAGTCATGTGATGTGTTTGGCGGTTGTTTTGGTTCAGAAGTTGAGTGGATTGTGGTGAGATGTGTGCTGATGCTGGGTTTTGTCACACACAGGTGCTCCTCCGTTCCTGAGGCCCCCTGGACTCCCCGTGGCCCTCAGGGGCCCCATACCACGCATGCTGCCTCCGGGGCCCCCGCCGGGACGCCCGCCCGGACCCCCG